GAGGAATCGAGGGACGGAAGCCCCACCTCGGGGCCGCAGTTGCGCCGCTCGCTCTTTTGAGTTGGTCCGATTCATGAGCCCGACTTGATGCGCTGGCCGCAGGTTTTCAACTGATTCCGCAGCCACTACTGATTCCACCCCAAGTGATCAGCCATGGTACCAATGTAGGCACAGCCGTACGTCCCCTTAAGAACAGGAGGCGGTAGAAATGGTCAAAATCGACGCGATGGGCTTCGAGTGCGGCAAGTTGGCAATTCCGTCCTGTCATCGGTCGGTAAGGCTCAGCCGATAGTACACAGGAGCGGCTTATTAGAGGCGACGATATAGTCAATATGGTTTGGGTTTGAGAAGTTTGTGGAACCGACGGCCGGCCACCGGCCACCGGCCTCGCGTCGCTCGCGATTACAACCGCCGCTTATCTCCGGGTGTGGCAGGCTGTTCTGCATGGTCACGACATCGGGGCACGGCAGACAGTTCAGGCCGAGAAGGTGGTATAAAACCCGGCATCCTCACGCTGGCAAGAACTTTCAGAACCCCAAGAGACTCACGGCCAAGCATTAGAGCATTCAGACCGATACCTACTGTACACACCCACCGCACACTTAAGCACCGATACCCACGATGGCTTCCGGAACCCCAAAGGCCGACTGCTGCCTCAAGGCTTCCCTCTGGGAGGGCACACCCACCGGCACGGAAACCACCTTGCCGGGCGTGCCCAACCCGACCTATGTCTCCCAACCCCCTTCCCCCTCCCGGGTGGCCATCCTGATCGTCCACGACATGTTTGGCTGGACCTTCCTCAACAACCGCCTGCTGGCCGACGCCTACGCGCGCGAGGCGAACGCAACTGTCTACCTGCCCGACTTCTTCGGCGGCGAGGTCATCCCGCTGGAGCCCGCGCTTGCCGGTCGGTTCGAGGAGCTCGACCTGCCTAGTTTCATCAAGCGCAACGCGCGATCGGTGCGCGAGCCCGAGATCCTGGCCTACGCCCGGGCCCTGCGCGCGTCGGGCAAGTACGACAAGATCGGGGCGATCGGGTTCTGCTACGGCGGCTGGGCCGTGTTCAGGCTGGGCGCGGAGGAGTTTGTTGATCAGGGGACGGGCAAGCCCCTGATGGACGCCATCTCGGCAGGCCACCCTAGCTTGCTGACGGAGAAGGACGTCGAGGAGCTGTCGGTGCAGGTGCCGGCGCAGCTGGTTGCGCCCGAGTTCGACCACGTATACACGCCAGAGATGAAGCAATTCACGTTTACCGCGCTGCAGAAGAAGAATGTGCCGTTTGATTATCAGCATCTCCCTGGGGTCGAGCACGGGTGCTTGGTGAGGGGTGATGCGAACAAGAAGGGCGAGAGGGCCGCCATGGTCAGGGGGAAGAATGCTGCGGTCGCCTGGTTCAAGCAGTGGCTTCACGAATGAGCGATGTTTAGAATGTAGCTCTGTCTCTCTGTTGAGGAGGCAGGCGCCTATGAGGAAGCTGCCAACACCACTTTACGGTCAGCTCGTTACTGTACTTGGGACAGCACAACATAAACGTGAAAAATAGGTTGGACCCTCTGCTATCGAGATGAATATCCTTTTTGTTCCGACGTATCAATCAATTCCATTCAGCACGACCCAGAACCATGAGAACAATGAGACTGTATTTCCCGAGGTACCCGAAAACAAGATCATGAGGGTTGTTGCATGTATTGTTGTGAGAGGAATCCCAAGGAAATTGAAGAAGGATTGGTGCCCCGAGCAACCACCAGCCATCAGATCAGGCCCAGCGGAGCATAGAACGGGAAACAGACGCTGCGGGTCCAGAGCAGCAGCGGTTCATCATACCCCTGTCCATTTAGAAAGCGAAACTCAGTCCTGTTCAGCATCAGGATGGACGAGTTGGATCTGAATGGCTGTTTGAGGATGAGGCTGGTGTGGGAAGGGGAGGAGAGGAGACGGGGATCGCCTGAGTCGTTTAGCTGCGGGTTTTAAGGGAACGGTTAATGGGGGCTTGATGTATATCCGAACCGGGCTGAATGTGTTGTTGGGAATTGTTTCGCATTATACTACTTTTGATTAGGGGCCGCTAGTAATGCGTATACCTTACCCAGGAGCTATTCGGGCAAGGTCGGCATCTGGATAGTTTCGGGATGGACGTGGTGGGTACTAGAAATCCATGTGTTGGTCTCTGGCATGATCTGCTTTGGTTTACACAAATGTGAATTGAATGCGGTCCGAATGCGAACACCAGGGAGATAGACCCAACTTCCGAAAGGTGTCTAAAGGCAAAGAAGGTGCAGAACGCGCGGTGCCACAGAACTCTCGAATAGCTTTCGTTCCACATATCGCGGCAGCTCTGGAACATAAGCGGTTCCCCCGGCAGCGCCCTCGTACGCCTCATACACATCACCAACCCAGCTGCCACAGTGGTTGCGACGGCTAGTGCCGGCACAGAGACGGAAGATAAACTGGTTCCTTGGCTGAGCATCCCACTTCGGGTCGCACTGTGAATGGCCGCTCCCCAGGTCCCTCCAGGCCGTGAAGACCAGGATGCGGTCCCATGCCCCCTTCGGCGCAACGATGGCGTTGACAGAGTAGTCGACGAAGCTCTGCTCGGAGCCGTCGACACGCCCTGGAAAAGGGCTGTGGCTATTGCAGCGCCCACATGGGACGCTGTGGGTGAACAGGCATCGCAGCTGGCGACTCAGCTTCCGACGCGCCGGCCCAACATCGGGGGAGAAGCACTTGAAGCCGTGGAAACAACTGTTCTCCTGCTTTCGACACTCGGAAACCCGAAAGTCATACAGTCTGGTCGTTCCAAGCGCCAGGTCCGGATAGCGCCAGTCAGGGGTTGTATTCCTGCGGAAAATCTCGTCCAGGGCGGCGAGGTCGCGGGCAGTGGGATTACAGCGCTTCTTCGGGGCCGAGTTCCGCACGACAAAGAGCTGGTGCCGGAGGAGGACGCGGCCGTCGACCACCCGAGCCTTGTAGTCGACGAGGTATGTGAAGCCATGGCCGTCTACCTCTCCGACGCGGCTACGGCATATGTTGCCGAGCAGCGAAACGGCATCGAGGCCGCGGCGATACCACGTCGAGGTCGCGCGAACAAGCGGCAGTATCATGGGGATCGGATTCCAACCCCCAGGGAAAGGCAGGCCGAGGCGCTGATTGTTCTGGCCGCAGCGCCGTCCAGGAGGCTCGGCATCGCTCCAGAAGGGCGAGTGTAGGAGCCGGCAATACTTGCAGGCCGTGAGGAGCAAGGCGTCGCGCTCGAGGAGGTCGAGAGGCCGCATGCGAGGGGACCGAAGTCGATCGTCGTCAGGGTCGTCAGGTTCATCTGTCGCAAAGTTGCTGGTGCCGGGCCCGACCCCGCCCATCCTGTACATCATGGTGCGGCTGGTCAGGGCGAGTGCGATACGCGATTCCACCGGCAGCTCCTTCCCGATGAGAAGCACGAGCTCCGAGGGGAGCCGCTCGAGTTGGGACTGTTGGGAGACTTGGGTCTGTCCTGCTGGTTCGTCGCAAGCCCGTACCTTCTCTGCGTTCTCGCTGGGAATTTCATGACTGGCAACGCTCGATGCAGCTGCGCGCCTCTTAGCCGGGCGCTTGCCGCTGCCGGCAGCATCCTGCTGGGGACCGCTCCGCTTTCTCAGATTGTATCGGGGCGCCACGAAGGTTGAAGGCTGCGATTGCACTGATTGCGCCGAACCCCTTGGCAAAGAGGCTGAAAAAGATGTAGAAGATGCCTTGAATTGTGGTGAATTTGGATGGTTGAAAGTTTAACCCGAGGATGCCCTCTTTCAGCCTTGATAGTTTAGCAGAGTGTAATATAGGAGGAATCCAGTCGCCATGCTTCTTCCTTCAAAGGACAGGAGATAAGGTGAGAGAAAGCGAGGAATGAGCGAGGGACGCTCTCGAGCGCCGAAGGGCGGGAGTGGATGTATTTTGCACATATCTACCTACGTAGGTAGGCACCTTGGGGATACCGATGCATTACGTCAAGGACATCGACCACGCAACCATGAAGCTGGTGTCCGTCACCAAGGGTGCGATGCTGATCTTTTCGCATGTGCCTGAGCGTTGAAGAAGAGAGCCAAAATGTGATTGAACTGTAGGTTGGTTGGTTGGTCGTTAGGTAACTTAGTTTCAAGTTCTGAGAACCGAGTCGGTGCCCGCAGAGCGCCTTAAAACCAGGTCGCCATCCGTGCCTTCGTTCAGCATTTTCCCTGCAGCCTTTGCAACTGAATGAATCGCCTCCTGTCCAGCGGAACGTGAGGCGCCCCAACTTGCATGCTCAGGACCAGATGACCAATTCAGCCATTCTCTCACAAGCCTAGTGTTCATCGTTTTAACAATACTGATTGCCTTGGATTCTCATCAATTTGTCAGGCAGGTACGGTAAAACGCAATTTCACAGCGCAGAACCTGGAAGCTTTCTCAAACGGGTATCCCTCCCATTCAACAACCTATGCAACTCCCTACCTACAATCCGGCATCCCCCCAAAGCCAGAACCATGAACCGCAGAGCGGAAAATTCAGAACCTCGAACTCCCATGACTAGATCAGCCTGCCTTGCCCAGGTTGCACTCGTGAGGACCTAGACAGTGAAGGCAGCTGGGAGGAGCCATGCCAGGCCAAGTGTCAGGGCGACTCCTGAGGAGTCACGAAAGGAGCTGCGTTAACTCCTGCCTTACCCAACATCTTTGACACTCTGTCGCACGTGAAACAAGGTTGGAGAACTAGGCACCTGTGCGTCTCGCGGGGCAATGCCGCAATACTGCCCTCGGCTCCGGTCGCTCTACAGCCACTGCTCGTACAGGCTCGCAAGCCATACCCTTGTGTAGTTTGAATCGTGCTCAGCTGCGAGGGTATTCGTTGGCGCAGAAGGGCGAGCCCCGTTGTGCTGGTGCAACCTGCAAAGCAGCAAAGTTGCCATGGCGGGCCCACGCCCATCCTTTTCACCAACACCAAATCTGCCTTGATCAGCAGATTTCCGCACCCTCGCCTTCAACACCACAAAAGGGAGCTTGGCACAGTTGGTTGAGTGCGTACGTCTCATGGCAGATCTCTTGGATCGAGGCATCGTAAGGTCGTGAGTTTAATTCTCACAGTTCCCACGACTTTTACTGCAGGGCCACTGTATCTTTTAATCCCATCTCCCGTTCTCTGTGTGGGTATTCTCCATGTCTCCCGGGAACGTCCTTTGTGCGCCGCTTAACACCTGAGTGCCCCGGGCACATCCTCATTCTCCAACACTAAGATGATGATCCGTCAGTTGTGCAAGACGAAAGGGGTCTTGTGTGTTTGCTGTAAGCTGGAGAACAGCCGAAGATAGGCCCCTGCCGATAATGCGGGCAAGTGTTGGCAAACGTCAGCAGCCACATGCCATAATCTATGTACAGAGAACTGAGGAGCTCTTGCAAATGAGGCTTCATGGTGCGTGGGAGCAACGGAAGCAGCTGACGATGTTGGGTATTGAGCAAGGTGTGATTTATGCTAAGACAGGGGTCATGTGGAGAAAGAAGGCCTCCAGCTGGCATGACACGCCAGGACACAAGATCGAGGCCAAGTCTTGAGATGGTTCCGACATGAGTGGCGTGAGACTTAATAACAGAGGGCGAAAGTGGTTTAGTTACTTTTCTGAGAATGGATGGAACGACTCTGGCATAAATAATTCCATCTCTCCCATAGTCATATGACTTTTGCACTAACCCATAGTCATATGACTTTTGCACTAAGCTGAGAATGGAAGAAAAGTCGCTTGGTGCACTCGGCCATCTGCAGACCACGGCGACGGGGGAACTCGGGTGTGAACTTGTGAAGCTGGTGGCAATTCTCGGATGCGGGTGGTGTTGGGGTTGTTCACATTCAGTTATTAGGTTTCGCTGTGGAGTCGCCAAGAGATGCATTGGCGGCTTGGCAACCCCGGACGGAGAACTCTTCCCGTTGTTTCGGACCAAAAAAGGGGGTGAGAAGTTCGGCTTGAACAGCAGCAAGTAGCAATCGAAGCAGTACGTAGAATCATTTTTGAAACGCTGTATCCACTCTCTAGTCATGATATCTCCTGCTGTATCCGACCTTACCAGCTGGGCGGTAGTCGGGTCACAGGCAATGGAAGGGCGGTAGCCGGAGCGGCAGCCGGGGCCGCGCGGGCTGGATCGCGGTTCGAGATCGTGACCGGCAATCGGCATCCGAAGCGGAACCTCCAGATCGGTGGCGGCGCGGCGAGTGCAATGGATTGACGTCCCAGGGCTTCAGATCCGTCTGCTCCTCAGATTATGCGCCCAAGACCGATTCCCCGGAATTGACACCTACCTAGAGCCCGCCGTGCAAGCTGCTGAGAAAGCCACCCACTGAGCCCCTTATAGCCCGAGACTCGGGCGCCATATAGTATCCAGCAATCATTGTCATCCAGCTGTGGTTCCTGTCAAAATATGGAGCTGAAGTTGGCTAGAAATACACTAGAGCCAAGGCCCACTATACTATGTTCGCAATGATCTCGCTTGTCGCATCTACATTTGACAATTGACACTGACCAAAACCCCGGGATGCGCTAAAGCAGTTGATGCGCCAATGTAACCTAACTACCCCGGAGACGGATTCAACCCCGCATATAGTGCCCCATCCCACCGAACCGCCCAGACCCCGACCACCCGGCACTGCCCGGTTGTTCTTGCGGGAAGAGAGCCTGCAATCAACGCAAGGATCGCTGAAAGGGGGTCGCGTTGTGCCCACGGAATGCATCCTGGGGAGATGCGGCCGGGTGGGTTGTCCTCATGTTCTCGACCAGCTCCAGCATGGCGTCTGGGCTGCTTGTTGCCGCTGGGAATGGTATGCTCCGGAGAGGTCAGCTGAGTAGCGCGCTCTTAACGAGCGACTGTCAGGGTATGTACAGGGTTCTTGCTAGCTTGCCTCGCACAGATGACCTCCCAGACACGAGTCGCTGGACTGTCTGCATGCCTGGACTAGCCCGGAGCCAGCGCGGACATGAGCGTTTTGCCCCTTCCACAATCTTCAACCTTGCCCCTGATGTACGGGTTGTGTCGGCGGCTTTGAGAAGACATGCAACGCCGGGCGCTTGTCCTCAACTATAGAATTGCTTTTCTGTTTAGGCCATGAATTTGTTATTTGTTAATATACCTTGCCTCACCCCGAGTCCTACCTCGCTGCGGCAACGCGCGGCGCGGACGGTGATATCAGATCACCCGAATCGGTTGTCGTCACCACTCCGTTTGCTGGCGCTGGCGCAGTTCTAATCGACCGTCATGGCGGAGGAACCCCTCTTCTTCGAGTTGAGCTGGTCAATCCTCAGCACCATCGGAGCGGCCAACGTCTTCTTTGGCATCCTCGTCGTCAGCGTCACGAATCTTTCTCCGATCGCCGCGGTCCCGATCGTCACCTCCGCCGCCGGCGCCGTCGCGAATGGCCTCTGTTTCTACGCATTTTATTTGACATCCCCACCAGCTACAAACCGGGCCGTGGCTTCGGGATTTGCGGATATAATGTGGCTGGTAAGACCTAGGCAGTAGGGAATGCTTCCGCGGAGTACACGGTTAGCTAACCACCCTCTTCGATAGATCCAAGAAGCCGGGCTGTCGTTCTACGGCTATGTCATTCTGAGCCGCATTCTCCGCGACAGGAACTGGTACATCTTCGCGAGTGTGTTCTGGATCTTCATCGTGGCCATCGCTGTTGTCCGCATCATCATCGCCGTCACGCGCGTGAGGCAGATTGTCACGGGCGACGAGGGGCTCCAACAGACGGTTAACCACCTGCACATGGCCTACTTCCCCATGATTGCCGTGGTCGAATGCGTGAGCGCCTACTATCTGCTGACCATCTTCGCCAAGGCGCAGATGGGCTCGTTCAAGCAGGCCACCAAGACGGGCCTGTTCCCGTACCTGATGCGCAGCACCGAGGTGCGCCTGGCGCTTCTCGCCGTCATCGGCACCATGCGCGCCGTCACCTACTCGTTCCAGACCGAGGCCCAGAGCGCGACGAACCTGGCCGGCCAAGTTGACCGCTTCGCCTACACGATGGAGTGTCTCTTTCCCATCGTCATGTAGTGAGTGTCCCCCGTCTCCCGTCCTCGAAGCCAACCAGACTCACCCCCACGCGCAGCATCGACATGCTCTCCTCCAAGGTCGTCCACACCAGCCAACGACAATACAGCGTCTCCCCCCAGCAGGCCCGCTCGTACGGCAAGAGACGGTCGGCCATGGGTGGCGGCCTGGGCGGCGCGAAGGACCACGACGACGGGGCAATGTCATTTCCCACCCACAGTCAAACGGAACACATCGTGGAGGTGCACGGTGGCCGCAGCGCGGCCGCTTCCAGGCATCGGAGGAGGGCGAGTTCGGAGGAGCGCATCTTCGGCGGCGGCGCCGAGTCGTCTGGCATGGCGCATTCGGAAGTCGAGCTGGACGCGATGGAGCCGTCCGGACGCGCACCCGGTATCAGCAAGACGGTCGAGTTTGAGGTGGAGATGAGCGAGCCGCGGACGACCGAGCCTCGCCCACCACCGTCGGCGTATAATGTATGAGGGGCGGAGGGCCGGAGAGGTCTAAAAAGGATGAACACTGGGCGGGTTGGAGGAAGGCTGGGCAACCTTTGTATCGGGCAGGAGTCTAGGTCGGGAATTCTCGGCTGGATCTGCAACCATACAAAGGATTTTCCATGTATAATTACAGACGCATGCTGCGGGAGTCCAGGCGTGTCAAGAACGTGGATTCGTAGATCGGCAATCTGCAAGGGCTGAGGCCGCCCGAGCCGAAACGAAACACTGGGGGCGATGGGTCACAGGTTGAGTCCGGTAATGGAGAGATGGCCAGGACCTGCTCGAGGTTATAAAATGGAGCCTTTAGACAGATCACGTAGGAGATAATGTATTCTAGAGAAAATGGCAGTCATGCGGAAAAGTACAAATCGGTCGACCCCATCGCCTTACGACAGAGGAATTTTGAGAAAGAATCAACTCCCACAACAACAGCGAAGATACCCCCGGCTGCCTTGGCCACTGCCACTGCTTTGAGCATGGATATGCCTTGGACTAGAGCATTTATATGCTTACCGCGATACATTGTGTGCTGGATATCCTGAACGTCCGAGTCCGAGCCTCACAATTCGTATTTACTTTCGCTCTTCTGTACCCCACATTTGATGTTCTGCCACGAGAAGTGTCTCCTGCAGACACATTTTTCTATCCGGCGCGTAAGCGAACATATTATCCAACCGACGTAAAGTTTCCTATGAGGCCCTTCATCATGGTCGCTTAGTTACCTACCTGACATGCTTGTTTCCAATTATTTAGGTCGAAAGCACCCTCTGGGTCGCCACATGGATCAGAATTAAGGTTCAGATTTCGAAGTGAATTATAACTGGTATATATGAAAGAGGTATCACAACAAAAAGGCGCCTAGTCCGCCATACGAAAGTTCGTCGCTGAACTTAGTTCCATCCAGACACTCAATGATCAATATACTCTCTCAAGCTTCCTTCCCCGTTGGGATATTGCCGCCCTTGATGCTGTGGGCAGGGCTACCGGACATGCCGGTAAAGGTGCCGTCGACATGACGGGTTATCTCGACGTAGTCGTAGGCGAATTCGCCCAGCTCACCATCGTCAAGACCCATCTCCTCTTCAGCGGCAGGGACGCGAAGCGACAGGCCAGGGATCAGGTTCATGAGGAACAAGATGACGCAAGTCAGCACAAACGAATATGAGAAGCCGGCGACGCTGTCGGCGATCTGGTAGCCTAGCTGGACGTAGTTGTGGTTGACCCAGCCGCCGGGGATCACGGTGAAGCCGTCGAGGTGGGCGATGTAGTCCCTGAGCGTTGTTAGCTTTCCTCTCGTCGACACAAGCAATGGCAGTAACTCACGCAGCAAAGAATGCGGTCAGCACGTTGCCGGCAATACCGCCAACGGCGTGCTCGGCGAAGATATCGAGCGCGTCGTCAATACCAAGCACGAATTTGAGCTTCGTCGCAAGGTTGCACACGACCCCGCCGACAACACCGAAGACAACGGCCGACCAGGGCGGGACGTAACCAGAGCCAGGGGTAATGGCGACCAGGCCAGCGATCGCACCACTGCAGAAGCCAACGGTGCTCCATTTC